TGAGCGCCGTTATCCTAAGGAAGACTAAACAAGTAAGAAAATTATATTCGCTTGAGATCGAATCTTTTACTTCCATCATTGTTTTCGTATAAAAGATTAAGAAAAAGGGATAAACATATATTTGTATATTCCATAATATTGGGCGGGCGTTGCATGAATTTCGATATTCTTGTAAATTAATTTTCTAGAAATTTTTTTAATTTATAGGCAACGAGTAAAGTATAATGTTGTGGAAAGTGAAGGTGTTCTCAGCTTTCGTTGTAAAGGCGTGTTCTTCGACCTGCTTGGGTCATTTTCAAATTCTTTTGCAAATTTGTAAGCGATATTTTCCATTTTTACGAACAAAAGAATGTTTATCATGGATACTACATACCTGAATCGACGACAAATAACCAGAGGGGCTTGCTTAGGTGTATATCGAATTTAAAACTGATCAACAGTAAATATACTTTATGGGAATTCTTAAATCTTCCTTTGAGTATTGCAATTCCCTCATTCTTCTGTCCGTCTGCCTGTTGTACAAATTCTCTGGACCGCAAAAGATAAACTTATCGACTTTAAATTTGGTAGAAAAATTGAAAGCTCTTGCACGCAAATTAGTCAAGTCAAAATGGATTAAATCGATTGAAGAGACCATAAACTGAAAATATGTTTTCTTCACAACTATATATACATGTATCATATGAAGTGCACGAAGATTAGTGATTTTTATTTTTAAATACGAAACCTGGAAGAATCGAACGAGATATTATTTCTTAATCTTTAAGAACGTAATCTAAGTGTAATGTGACGTAACTTTGCAATTTAAACCTAGAAGACGATCAAATTTACAATATTGTAGAAAAGTATTTGTAAAATTTTCATTTCGATTTTATTAGATACACAGCCCAGCATATTATATAGATTCCCTGTACGGATTGTTTGTTATAGTTGATATATATATATATATATATAAGCACTCTTCGCCATGTATTGTATTTGGTATATTATAAGTATTTTGCGTTAGTTACAGTCACGCACTTGTAATGCAACATAGAACTGGACACGTATGATAGTATTATTCAAGCATTATTCAAAGCTTAGTGCAGATGTCGTGAAAGTCAAAAGAAAGCAAAATGTGTGCGACGTTGAGTAAGCTCTCATTTGTTTTTGAAAAAACAAGGAAAAAAAAAGCGTTCCTAAGAAGAATATGATACGGTATTAAATAAAAGTTGACAATTTAAATACATATACACTATGCTTATGCTGTGCGCAATAGTATCAGTTAACCCCATTGAAGTCAAATATTGCATCATTTTCTTTTACCTTTGAATAGGTCGACTTCGGTATCAAGATACACGCAAAGATCGCAAGGGATACCTTTCAAACTTTATATATATAAAAAAGCGCTGCGGAGTTGGGATAAGTATTGGATAATGCATGCTTCGCAATATTGAAAGCAAATGAACCTATGACACACATATTAGAAAAAGCCTTAATCTCACCGGTATGTGTGGGATATTGTGTTTTATTAGCTGTTCGTAAATGCGACCAATAACCACTGACGATGAACTGAGCCGAATAATGGAAACAACACATGTATACCGAAAGATATGCTATTCTAACTGTTCTGCATAATGACACTCAAACCCGAACGGCAAAACTCCTCAAAGGAAACACTAGCGACGCTGAACTGGAATATGCTACATGTATCCGGCTAACTAGAAGAAATATTACGAACAGACTTGACTTTTCTATAATAAGCGTTCAGTCTTTTTTAAAAAGACCGACGGACATCTATTGTTGTTCCCAATAATTTATTTTTATATCAAGTACACGATTTATGATAATTTCGGAATTAAAGTGATTCACTACAAATTATAAACCAAAAGGTCATAATCAACATTTGCAATGTTGTTGATTGGGAATCAACATACGATTCACTTGTGTTTCCAATCAAATTTCTTGCTTTCAAATGAAATTTTGATATCTTAATTTTGATTTTAAGTGACGCGTAAACGGATGCACAGAGCTGCAGATAGAATCGTGACCCGATTGAGAATGTACACTTATATGTATAGGATACTTAAGGGATATTTCTATCTTACGTTACAAAGATCGTAATATCGTATATAGGACATAACGAGACCAAAAACATCTAATATAGTAATTTCAATATAGAGTTACAAGAGATACGCAATGATGTAAAAATGTATATAGAAATCGATGTTACATGAAATGTAGGTCAAGGAGCAGATATTTATTTATTTTTCATATTTGTATTTATTATCAATGAATTTAACGAGTCGAAGAAATGATTCGCATGGCGGTTGTATCGATAGGTGACCTTAGAACCCTATTTTACTGCTTATGCAGATTAACATTTATTAATTTACTGCAAAGAGTCAAAACTCTGAAAAGCTAAGTCATACCCGTATATATTAATAATACCTCGACTTTGAGGAGATAAATTTTCGCAGCAAAATTTATGATATCTCTAGTGAAGATGTTTTATTAATATTAGATGTATGCAAACGATTTGTTCGTCTCGTCTGTCAATGCTAAACAAATGCCCTGATCCGTTTAATCGAACATTAGCAGAGTCAATGAATGTCTTTAAAACATTGAGAAAGACTGACATATTCTATCTTAACACATAGCTGGGGAAATGAAAAAAAAAAAAAAAAAAAAATCTTGAACCATTCGCATAAAGTTGGAATAACAAATGGAAGAGGAAGAAGAACAAGTCATATGTGATTCGATAGTGAAGAATTGAATGGAAAATGCAACTCTTACTGAGAATCGTTGCTAAAGCTCGTTGCAAACTCGACTCATTTTTCAAAGCCATGATAGCTGTTGGAGTAAGATGCAAAATGCAAGGAAAGAGGTAAGATGCATGCATGCGAAAGAGTGATTTGTGGCCTAAGAAGCACAAAGAAGCTGGGCAAACGATAGCAGAGATCAGATTGACGTCACGTAAAACTTTCCGTTAAATGGGATTAATTTCACCAAAGGCTTTGTGAAAACTTATTGATTAACTTAATTAAGCTCGTGTGATATAAATGCAAGAAAAATGTTTTACAACAAAATTTTTCTCGTAATCTATTATTAATTGACGAAGCGAAAGGTAATCAAACCGCACTGTTTGTTCTTGTACACGCTGGATCGAATTTTTATGATAATAATTTCAATGATTATATGCGAATGGTTCGAAAGCCGGACATACGAAATGGTTCAATGGCAAATTTTTAAGCATTTCAGATCTTCGAAAAGAAGGGAAATAATTTTCTTAAGAAACAAAGGACTGATATCCTATATATGCTTTGTAACCCTTTTTTCCTATTAACTTGGAAATCTTTAATAAAATCATATAAAAAACGTAATTGCTTTAATAAATAATTATTATTATTATTGAAAATTGCCTTAATTAGTAGCGTTTGCAATTTTTATTACTATTCGTTTAATTATGGAAAAGTCGTTATATGTTAAAGTGTAAATTACACAAATCTTTTTGTGTGTTTGTTCGAATCAATAATATAAGAACCCCACACATATACACTTACATTCGCAAACATAAATGTAAGAAGAAAAAAGTAAAATAAATTTATATACATATGTGTGTAGGTTAGTTTATGTACTTACAGACCTAATACACAAAAACGCATGCACACACACACACACACATATATATATATATATACCCACATTGAAAAGAGAATGAACTAATGAAACATCAAGAAACAAGCAAATCGATTTAAAATGAAATCGTAACGACATTGATAGGAGCTATCATCAAATCATTGCATTCCTTATAACGACGAGTGTGATCTTGACAATGATTTATTGCTTGACGAATGAGCAAATAAATTAAAATATAGACAATTGAAATCTTATATATATGTATATATATATACACATATATTATAGTTTAATTTCATTCAATTTGTTGTTCAGGCGATGATAGCCTTATCCTCATCAACGTGACAGTTCAAGAGGTATATTTCTCTTTCTCTGAATCCAATCATATGATATTAATTATCTTAAAACGGAATGTAGAACGTTCTGGATTCTTGCCCGCGACGAACTTCAATAAAGATTTACGTGGTTTTTTGAGATGCTTGGAAAAGTTGAAGTCATCGTTCTAGTTATATATTTGCAATAATCGAACCATGTTAAATAACTTGACTCAAAAATGATATTCGACGCGTTCGGACGTTCGGCATTATTTGCATTTGAAAATCCTATCCAAACGGATGGGTAATTACAATGATTGCACTACTAATGGTAAACGAAACCGAGGCATTCTTGAATCGAACGTTATTAAGAGAAAAAAGTACATAATGTTGGTAAACAATTGCGAACGCGAACAAGGTGCATACACTTACTAATAACGAAGCTCGGGCTAATATCCTATCATGAATTAGAATTATAGTATTTATCAGAAATTATAGCAGAGTTGCCAACTGAAAGTAGTGTAGACCCTTAGCAATGTATCCTTGAAATTTCTCATAATTTTTATTAAAAGATAAAATCCAACTTTTTGGAAATTAAATATAGTGAAGCTTGTGATATTTGTCGGTCTTACAATTTTGTTCAATCGACGATCAGAAGGTCTTATTATAATGGAATGGGAAAATGTTAGAAATGAAGGAATGATTCGTTATCTTCCAATACGCATAATAAGGCATAATAACATATCTTTTCTCAATTCCATTGTTGTATATTAATTACGGCAATTTCAAGCGTTGTGTTGTACTTGATTTATTAAAACGTTTTGTAGTGCAGAAAGGTACAGAGAAAAATACTCAACGAAATGAAACAAGGTCAAGAGTACACGCGAGAATCATAGTTTTGCGAAACAATTTCATTTATGCTTATAATTGAATTATTACCGACTAACAAAAGAAGCAGAGAAAAAAAAAAAAAAAACGAAAAAAGAAAGAGAATAAGTAAATAAATAAAATTAGTTTAAAAAAAAAAAAAAAACAAAAGAAAATAAAATATAATTGTATATTAATTACCGGCAGAAGCAATACACAGGCAATAAAAAACCAACAGGAGTTTTTGTGACGGAGACAGCGTTGCTGCTGATGACGATGCCGATGACGATGGCGCTGATGCTGATGCTGATGCTGATGCTGCGGCAACAACAGTGCTAATGGTAGTGATCGTGTTGGTTGCACGGCATGACGACCGTTTCAGCCGTTTCGCTGTAACCATTATGCTTGCACAAGTTTTTTTTTGTATATATATATATGTATATGTATGTATATATATATATATATATATTTATCTATATTTATATATTTATATATAAATATTTACATATATATATATATACATATATATATTTATATATGTATATATATATATGTATTATGTACGTATGAAAGTAATAAAAATTATTCAATTCTTAAGCACTTAGGCAGTTGAAGTTCAGTTCGGTTAAGTTGATGTGTTTAGTGTTTATGGCAGTAAGGTTCTTTCTTTTTTTTTTCCCACTCTTATTTTCCTTTTACTTCTCCTTTTATTTTTTGTTTGCTTTTTTGCGATTTATATTATTTATTGCATTAAGTGAGTATATATATATATATATATACGTGTATTTGCGTGTGTGCACGTAAGTATTTATGTACGTATGTATGTATGAATGTATATATTTATATGTATATGTATGTATGTATATATGTGTGTATGTGTGTGTGTGTGTATGTGTATATGTGTGTGTGTGTGTGTGTGTGTGTATTGTTTATGTGCACCTTTTTTTTTTCTTTTTAAACTGTCTATTGATAATTTGAATAATTGCCATAAATTATATCGATAGCATGTGTTGGCATTCACTGGCAAACATCCTGCCGCACACGAAGACAAATAATGGTTACTTAAGATCCAATAAATTGCAAAGTGTATTAAACAGCTGAGATGGTTTTATTTTAGCTTTCTTGTTTATTGTCTATCCATTACGTTTTACTTTCGTAGAAATATACGTCGCCGTCTGTTATGCAGTAACAAATGCGGTAAAATTTACAATCGCTTACAATCGGCCACTTTTTCATCTTCGACCGACCGAAATATTATATGATATCCTTGCAAAAGTCACACATAATTGAGCACGAGATGACTGAGGCTCCGTAATTTAAACGTTTAGTTGAAAGTCTTTTGTTTTACATGCTTTCCAAAGACATTCGAAGTCCTTTTGAAGTCTATTTTGAGTTTACACGCATACACGAATATCTACAAATAAGCTGCAGGCTGGGTAATTATATACTGACTGCCAAAAAAAAAAAAATAAAATATAAAAACAAAAAAAAAAAAAAAAAAAAAATTATGCACTGCTCTCGTCTATAAACTGAATGTTTTTTCTTTTTATTCAAATTTCAACTTAAGATATTTTGAGTTGCGTTTTCTTCTAATCCTTTTTTTTTCAGGATAAATTCTGCTGTTTTTTTTTTTTTTTTGCTTTTAAAATGTATGCTAAGCAATTATAGCGGTTATAATTCCATGTGCGTAATGAAACGTTAAAAAGTTGAAAAGTTATCGAAAGACCTGATTTTTTTTTTCTTTTTTTAATTAATCTTTTCTTTCGTATTGCGTTTGTTTCTCGGTAGTTCAATTCAACGCCTCTTGCTTAACTGAGTGAGTGAGTGAATTTATTATGGAAAGAAATCTTTTGAATTGAAATGAAAAGATATTTGTGCAAAAAGGATTACGTTTCCTTTCAAATACTTTTGTAGTTAATTTTCACTCTTTTTTCTTCTCGCACTCTCTTCCTTTCCTTATCCCTCCACCTTTTTAAGCTAATAAATTGATTTTATATATCTTTTTTTTTTTAATTTTATTTTTTTTATTTTTTTTTTGTATAGTTGTTGCTGTTAGTGTGCCTTGCAAGAGCTGATACTTTTCTAGGCTTTTTTTTTTTTTATAAATTTTTTCCCCTGTTACAGAGAAGTTTTTCTTTTTTTTTTTTTGTTTTTTTGTTTAAAATTCAAGGTTACTTTTCTTCACACAAATACACGCACACATCAATTCAGTTACTCATGTATGAAATTTTCTTTTACCTCTTCTGTAAACTTTGAACTCGAAATTTAAACCGTCGTTACCCGTTTGTTTATTAATATGAAAGAATTTAAGAAAGAGAACCCAAAAAAAAAAAAAAAAAAAAAAAAAAAAAGAAGAAATTTGTTAATTTTCTTTTAAATTTGATTTTATTATACAATCGGTATTCATTATTAAACCGATTATGTTTAATTATTATTGGGAAATAGAATGCTCTACTATTTTAGTTCTTCTTACTAGGTATTTTGCTTATTTCTTTTCTGTTTGTGTTTTTTGTTTTCTTTTTTTTTTTTTTTTTTTTTTTTTTTTTTTTATTATTTACTAAAATAAAAAAATTAAAAGAAAGTATTTCAAAATGAATTTTCACTTGCAACTGATATAAACCTGTCAGGTCTTTTTAGGTTTTAATCAGCTCTTCAGCTCAAACATTCCCACAGAATTACTTGCACACCCATTCAGTTTTGTTATTCATATTTATTCCCTGTATATGTGTAAAATCTCTTTTTTGCTCTCTTTTTGCTCTCAATGCATCACATAAATAAAAAAAAAAAAAAAATGAAAGCAAAGTTTAAAACGAACATTTTTATGATTACTTTACATTTCGAAACGTGACATGCTATGAAAGTGTAAATATCTTATTCATTAACGGGAACATAATCATGACATAGTTAAGAAGAAAATTGTTAGATGCTTGTGTTATCGTATTGGGCAGAAAGACATCAAAGCTTCTTTATATTAATAATCATTCAGTCAATCGCCTTTAAAGTTAGAGTTTATATATGTTAATTAAAGTTTTTTGCTCTCCGCGAGATTTTTGTTCATTCAATTATAAGCTATGCAAATAGCTTAGATAGAGATAGGAAATTTGAAAGCTTGCAGTTGTATACGTAGTTGATAAGAACCTTGAAACGAAATTGATTCGTCTCGACGCCTTAGTTTAGTAGAGAAAATGCTACAAATTAATTAAGATTTAATGAAAATCGGTCGATCCCAGGTAACTTACACATTGTAACCCGAACAAATATACTACAATTTTTATGTATAGACTAAAGATCTAGCGAATCTAGACTCTAGATCTAGTGGGCTGAGTTTTCGTAATTTTCATTATACATTTATTTACTATGCCGTCTGGGTGTGTTTGGTACCCATTGCTAGAACACAACGTACATAAAGCATGGCATGTGTCTGAAAGATTACCATCCAACGAGATAGTGTTATCCAATTCTAATCTAGAGTTTCTTATCTTCAACTTGGAATTAAAGTTTTAAACGCCATTATTATCTGGCAGACACCCTGATATTAATGACATGAATATGACTAAAAGGATTTCATTATTCCTGGATGGCAATGGAAAGTTGCAATGAAGCTTATCATTTTAGTCACGGTTATGGACTAACAATTGTAAATGCAAGAAGCAAACAGAAGGTTTCCGATATATATGATTATTTTTATATGTTACAAGTACTTAGGCTATTTAACATATTCTACGTAGTAGGTAGGTAAAGTGCACCTACATACCTAAGCATCTTATACATTGTCCCGAGTATTTAAGTACCGCATCGTTGAACTGCAACGCAACATGTTGCGTGTTGTGTTGATGTTTGATACGCGTGCTTTTTCGATTATTGCTTGCTAACATTTTTCTCTGCATTACTTTCCTTTTATAAGAAGCAAAAGCATTCGCATTTATTTATTTTACTTCTATTCTTTTTTCTATATATATATATATATTTTTTTTTTTTTTTTTGTAAAAATTAATAATAAGCGTGGCGTATGAGTTATGGGTTAAAATAAATTCCACAAACTCATTTATGTTTCAATATGATTTCATGTTTGTATGCACTGTCTATTGAGAGAGAAGAATGTTTTTTTTTTCCCCCTTTTGAAAATAATATTGTTAGGAACACTTTGTTGATATCGAGAAATTGTATATTTTGGTTTAAAGTTATTTATGTCATGATAATCCTTTATTTGCCTGGCGTTTATCACTTTCCCGGCTTAATGGTATTGTTGTGTTTAAAAATAAAACAATCTTTTCTTTGCAATTCCAAGCTTTATTAATTAGTTTCTTGATATATAAAGCAAGACTATGAATATGAATGATAGCGATTTTTTTTGTTTTTTTTTTTTTGATGACAAGTTATTTTCGTAAGACTGCGGAAGTACAGTGATGAACAGGAAAGATTTTAAATAGAAGAAGGAAACAAAGAAGGAGTAATGATTAAAAAGAATATTAGCGACGACGAGTTTTATTCTTATGACCAGAACATCAAGTAGTGCCGATTATTCTGTCATGCTATGCACACATTGTACACTTACAGACTACATTTGTGTAAACTATTACAGATACTCACTCAGATATATAAGTAAAGAACACGTGAAGGAGAAAATCCTACGTTTATTACACCCTATACCCTATGGCTGTACTAAGTTTATGGAAATGTACACAACAACCAAAATAACTTGACAAAGACCGACCTTCTATTGTATCGAACCAACCCGAATCACATTCTGAATTGATCTAAGTTTGTCCTTGCGTCCGCACATCCTGCTTTTTTGTGTTGAACCTAAACGTGGTAACTTTTGAGAGCCACTCCACATATAACGCCTTATTTCGAAAAGTTGGTGTATGTATGGTGAACCGTGACCCGCTATAGCCGTTTTCTTCATTTAATTCATTTCTTACAAAAGAATGATATCAATACTAATTACTATCAAACGGTGACTGCATGCTGGAAGCTGTTTGCACAAGTTCAGATCTCTGGATACTCTCTAGATACTGATGATGTACTTGCGCCAACTATCTCTTTCTGCATAAATATAGCTTCTGCAAATCTTCCCTTACAATTGTAACCATTTCATCAACACTTATAGCTCAATTAACACGAAAAAGATTGTACTCATGGACTGTTTTCATATAATTAGATAGAGTATAGACAGCAGAATATTGCGTAAACAAATTGTCAAGATTTTATTGCTAAAAAAGATTTTGTACATAGTTTAGTTAATAAAAAATTTTTCACTAACATTTCGTTTAAAAGGTCGCCAAGGGAAAACAATGACCAACTATAGTCCGTAAAAACAGATGCTCTCTCTCTCTCTCTCTCTCTCTCTCTCTCTCTCTCTCTCTATCCCTCGCTCCTTATCAATTGATTAATTCTTTTCTCATGGTTTCATCCAAAGGTGGAATAGCTTCACGGGGTATTAAAAATGTCGATAAATTAAACAAATCCAAGAAGACTTTGTAACGATCACTGAAAAACCAAAATGTGAAGCGTGATGATTATATTAAAAATTTGAAGAACAAACCTTAATGTTGAACGTAAATATTGATAACCGGAAGAGCCGCCAGTACCCAATTGTTGTGAGCCGATCATACGCTGAACCATAATGACATGATTATCTAAACGAGAATTTCAAAAAAGTTTTTAATCTAACAAAAAATTTATATTGAAAATGATAATGAAATGTGCTTACAACGCCACTTGGTTATAAGCGAATCAATGTCCATTAATAAAGTTAACACTTGATGAGGTTGACTGAAACGCGGCTCGTCACGATAGAAAGTAATCATGATGGCTCCCTAAATGAATCCAGTTATTTATTTATTTATTTATGTTTCGTTTTTTTTTTTTCTTTTTTTAAACTAACCTGCAAAGCTTTGTGACTAAAACGTCTATCGCCACGCGATACTAAGGCTTCGTGAATAGCTATATCAAATATACTGCGATAGACTTCACGACGTTTCTCAATATCCATTAAGCGATAATTTTTAGCCGATTCAACTTTCTCTTTCTGCGATTAACAGATTTCAGGGAATTTATCATATTTTACATAAAGTTTACCCACCATTGCGCTATTCTCTTGTTCTTTTAGAAAACGATCGACGCTGTCTTGAAATTTATGCCAAAAATTGAAACCATTTTCTTCTAAGCCCGGAGTACGTTCTAGCCATTTTTCAATTAACTCTAATAATGATGGCTCGTTTTCCGATTTAATGATGGCTTCTATAGCACAGCGATCAAAGCCAAATGCCTCCGAATATTTTTGATTATATTTGACCCGATGTTCTGCTTTTACACCCAATTTATTCTCAATTAAACGAAATTGCAAACTCTGGAAACCGGAAGCGGGCGCTAAATAATTGCGAAAATCCATAAAGTCTAACGGGGTCATTGTTTCTAAAATTGGGACTTGATCAACCAATAACTGCAAGATTATTAGAATTTGTTGAGACGCCTTTTATTTTTTTTTTTGTTTTTGTTTTTTTTTCCCCCTTACGGATAAAAGCGAAAAAAAATGTGAAATTTTTTACCTTCAAAATCAGTACAATACGATTTAAACGTTTCAATATTTCTAAAGTTTTCGTTTCCTCGATTCGTTCTTCGTTCAACATTTCTCGTATCGAATCCAATTCAAAAATGATTTGTTTAAACCATAACTCATAAGCTGAAATCAAAAACCAAAAAAAGAAGAAATAAATAAATAAATCAATTAATTAATTAAATATTAGAAAAAGTATTCCTCTCGTTTAAAAATATATATATAGTTTAAATATCGGATGATTGAATTTTTCTCGCTTACGAAATTCACATAATTGATAAAATAATTCGACATAAAAAAAAAGTTTCTGATAGTGTTCGGCAATTTTACGGAATTTTATTATTAGTTATTTAAACCACTTCCGGGACAGGGTAAATTGAATGTGTATCGACGTAAATAACACCCAGAAGGACTTAAGATAGACCGACCTCTTGTTATGCAATTATTTTTTGAATCGATCTAAGCTTTTCTATCCATTTGTTCGTCTGATGTCGGTCCATGTATTTTTGTGATCAACCTACCGATCGCCATTGTTTAGAAATTTATTTGCCAAAGTCGGTATGTGAAGAAAATTGCAATTTTCAATAAAACTCGCTAAGCAATAGATCTTCGACATTCTTAATTTGAAAATGAATTTTTATATGGTAACAGGTAAAAACATTATAGACGGGCAAGGCCCGTTATTGAATACCTTACACCAATACCCTACACCAATTCCCTTGATAAAGTTATTGGCTCGTTTTGAGATGTAAATTACACTGATTTCAACAAGATTTTCATTAAGGTCAGTCATTCTTCTAAAATAAATTGAAGAACACTGACTTTAATAACCATTTGGTAAAATGGATACACTGCTATCTAATCCAAGGCGCTAAACGGGTACAATTTAATAACGCATGGCGTAAGGACAGCATAATACACTAAAGGAATTCCTGAAGATAGTTATCTTGATTTTGTTTTATTTGTCTGGTTTAAAAATGATCTACTGATGACATTGAACTTATCTACTGTCCAATTGATGATTAATCCCATGCGTATCTTTAGGATGAACTTTGAAAATTTTTATAAATGATGCTCGTCAGTATTAAAAAACACAAGTGCATGCCTTTTTAATCAATGTGTTTAATACTTTTTTATAAAATAAATATTGAGAAATAAAAAAAACCTGATTCACTTAATGATCTCAGTATCCTCTTTAATTGAAAGCTCTTCTTCAATGTAAATATGAGTACTATCGTAAGTAAGACAAAGAAGGTTTTTTTTACGTTTTATTAAGTGCTCGAAGTCGAAAGAACTTTTTGAACTTTACACTACTAGATTGTTCTTGTGCATAGTTTTGTAAGGCCTATTCATGACTATGGCTCTATTATCTGAGATTCGCAATATACTATTATATTACTATAAGCAAATTCAATCTGTGTATCCTAATGTTCGCCTTCTACGCCATACCATACTGCATATCATACACCATAGTTACCGCTAATAAAGTTACGCACTCTAAAAAGCGGACGAATAACGCTAAATGCATATGTCGGTCATAAATTTCTAAATGGCTTTTTTTAGACTTAAGCATAAATGTTCCACAACGATTGCCAAAACAATTTCCAAAAGACTAGTTCATCACCAATCCTACCCGGACACTTTAGAGGCAATTTAACGACATCAAAATTATTTGATACTTGATTGACTTTGGCGTGACCGTTTCTGCTACAAGATCCAAAATAATTAAACACTTGAATACTTTGTGTCTTCTTATACTCTATTTTTTTGATGATCAGCTAAACCATGTAGATGATAACGAGAGCCTATTTTGGCTGTTCGCGCTTCATACGTCATGCAGAGAAGGTCCATGTTTTGGTTGGATAGTTGGCAGAAAATATATAGGACGGTGGTACCAATCGAAAAAGAAAAAAAATTAGTAACCTAGAAAGCTGACTAGAAGACCAAAATACTTTTCTTAATGCATATCCTTCTCTCACACATTGTGATAAAGAAAATTGCACCAAAGTGTTTCGACTGCTTAATGCTTGTTATTGCTTTTATATACACTTGGTTTTAAGCAGATTTCATTTGAGAATTGTTTTGAGGAAAAGTACAAATACATTAAAGGATATTAAAAAGTTTAAAAAATATCTTTGTATTCATATTTGATATATAAAGAATTATCAAATGAGATATGGT